TGATCACTCAGCTTGGCAAAATTTCTTCTGATTGCTCTCGAATCCGCGACGAGTGCTTTGTTTGCACATGCAGGTTGCTAGAATACCAGTCCCCCAAAAAATAAACCTGATCCTGCCCTATATAGTTCGAACCCGAAACCCAACCCCAAACGCTAGAAGCCCTAATTCTGTAGTAGGTGTTTCGAATTCCAAACACGAGCTCCTACACCTATATATAACTGTACACACCAGAACTCTTGCCCTTTAAACTTTGAGCCCGGAATCGGTTCAGCGCCCCAAATTATCGCTTCCCGAACCACCACAAACCCAACGGAGAATCACACTACCATCCCAGGATCCAGGCGATGGTTATCAAGGCCAAGCCGCTTTCCGAATGCATCGAGGCTATGAATGCAGTCAAAGCAGACCCCCTGAAGGATCGATTAATTGAGACTTGATTGGGTTTGATTTAGCTTAACCAATTGCATGTGGGACCGGCAGGACTATCAACGACAAGTTCTTGATGCCGAAGCGGTTTATCAGGGACAGGAACGCCGCCCCTAGGCCGAACAGATCCGATAGTCTTGTGTATTCATACAGGGCACATCTGTTAAATGTGAAAACTTTCAAGACTTAGGCAAAGCAGCCGAGAAGAGAAAGCGCGAGAAAGAACAACAAAAAAAAGCGGAGGAGGGCAAACGCGGCAAAGAGTCGCAGGAGTATGCAGAGGATCAAGACGAAGAGAATCATGAGAATTGGGGAGAGGAGTGGGAGGAGGAGGAGCCGTGGCCTGCAGTGAGTGAAGATCCCAATCCTTCTGCAAAGCGTGCCCGCTGCTAGATCGGTGTTGCTTGAAAGGGGGCGGGTGGCTTGTAGTGCAAGCACATGCAGCTCGGATATCTTTGGGCTAGCTTAGATCGTACAAGACACTTGCTTGCTTAGTTGCGCGCTGCATGTGCCTAGTGCATAGAAGCCTTGTGTTTTGACCCTGAGCAGTAGAAGAACTGCTCGGGATTCGTGATCGCACTATGGGGTTCCGTGAGCTGGAGCATGCTGCTTCGATGAAAGCAAACATTGTCTTGCCCCAGCCTGCCAGATCTCGACAATCGTGTGCCGCCCCAGATATCAGCAGTTATAACCGTCGGTATGCCTGGGCTTGATTCTTCAGGAAGTCGCACATCGGTCATTCCCCATGTTCTTTGTTCAACTCCAGGATCTCATATCGAAAATAAACATCCTAGGACCCGAAGACCCCGGACTCCGCAAAATATTTGATTAGTTGCAGTCGATCTTGGTCTATGTTTTTTGGCACTACCCAAACCCAAACCCCTAAACCCTAAATCCACAAACCCCTATAACCCCTAAATCCGCTAATTATTGCTTCGTTGCATTGCCTCCAACGTACAAGACCTTGAAAGGAACCATGTGTATGGATACACCCGCTCACCACCTCGCAAGCTTGTCTATAAACATTAACGATACTCATGGATGCTTCGACCGTGGGTTGACTCGTGGGATCTCGCGATGGCTTGATCAAAAAATGATTTATGATGGATGGCTGCAGCTGGAGAGAATTGGGCCAGCCACTACGTGCAGCAAACCTGTGATGATGTTCTGCGACTACTTTCTCATGGGCAGGCCGGGCAGCCTGCTATTGATCGACCATCGATTGATAGTTCCTCCTAGTTGTCATAACCCGAACCCCGGGACCCTGACCCCGCAATCAAAGTAAAGTCCGAACGACACGAGGCCTTATAAAATCCCCCGAAACCAAAAGGAGAAGGTTTTTAATTGGATTGCATTAATTAATTTTCACATTGAGCCTACAATAAGACATGATACCGAACTGTCGAACCCCGAAGACTAAACCCTACAACATTCAACCGACTACCCTGGATGAGTATAGCTGTAGTTTCATCATGGGACCCGAATCTGTAAATCTGACCCCCCAACTGAAACGCGGGCCCTAAACTCCAAGCCGCCTTTGATAGGCATCCAGCCCTCATCCATCTAATTTTCAAACCCTAGGTTAATTCAATCCAAAACCCTGAATGTGTGGCTTCACGTGTGGGGACCTAATCCCTCAGGCCCGCTCAATATATGAAAGCCCAAATAATTCGACCCCGAAACTCCAAGCCCCCAATAGCAGAACTACAAAGCGCTTAAACCCCAGAAGCTCAAGTCAATGTAGTTTTCTTTGGGGTTTATTATCGTGGGGTTCGGGGTGCAAATTCAGGCCCAAGCTTAGGACTTACATATCCCGTTGTTGCAGCAGAACTTGCTTGCCGATCCTCGAGGTGCCGCTCGATGAGCTCGCCACGTCGTTGGCCCGGCTACGAAGGCTTCCTCAGGCGGTTGTTCCGCAACTCGGGAGCAACAAATTGAGGTGTTGAGCTGGCAGTCTACTCTGCAAAGTCTGTTTTGAAGCATTCGCTGAGGAGTGATCTTTTGGCTTTGGCCCATGGGTTCACCAATCAGAACTCTTGGGGACAAATGAGAGCTTTGATTCGTTGGACGGACAAGCAAGAATGGCGAAAGATCCTGCCTCAACCGTTTAAGATTCCAAGCTGCAAATTATAGACTATGTTGGATGGGGCTGTAGTTTCGAGGTTCTGTCTTTTGGTGATGTACTAAGGATACAGCTCAAATCAGCTGCTGGACTCCATACTGCATGGCTTCCTCGAGCAACAAGACCGGTAGGCTTCGCAATGCAGCCTGAGTCTCAGCCGAGGAGTACGTCGATGCGCATGGCTCGGTGAGTCGCCTCATCAAGCATCATGTGCTGCTACCACATGAAATCATTGGTTCCCTCTATGACACCGGCAAGATCGAAATGGTTACGGGGAAGGTCGCTCGATTCAAGTTGGGGCAGTTGGGGGTTTGGGGTTTTGAGTTTATGGACTTCGGATGTAGGGGTTTTGGGGACGATGCTTGTGCGAGCATCTCTCTCCCTCTCTCTCTCTCTCTCTCTCTCTCTCTCTCTCGCTTCTCTCTTATAAGCTGTGCGAAGACGCAAATATTTCAGTTTGTTCTCTCTTCTAGCTGTCTCTATCTTACTCATGTCTTCTGTTTTTTCGATATGATGTATGTCTATTTATATTTGTTTTGGGTGTCTAAGACACGGTGTCTATGTGCCGTTGTTGCTCTCTCTATCGCCGTCTCTCTATCTTCCTCTCTCTGTTTGTCTCTTTGTCTCGTGAAGGCTTGTTAATTCTTATCTCGAATAAACTAACTACTTTCTTTCGTGCGCTTATTTAACCAATGTATACTAGAATATATATAGGATGGATCATCGATCCCTTGCCCTTAGTCTTCTTCAAGCTATGGACACCCATCACCCAACCGAGGAACATGATTTGGTGCAGTACTGGCAGGAGTTATCCCAAACAAACTGGTATCGGGAGCACCCGCTGCTGAAGGCTCCGAGACTACAGACTTCATCATGTATGCTTGTTGTGGTCATAAAAGTACTCCAACCGAGGCTGCCGATCCCAGATTCTGTATACCACTCCGGCTATACGGCGACGGGGCAGAGTCTACGAGCCTCGAGGCTGAATATGTGAACCTTCCCTGCTTTGCGTCCATCAAACTCGCTGCTGCTAGCTATATCATGCATCAGGACATCAAGTATTCGAATGTTTTGCGCTTTTGGCGCCTATGGGATCCTCATCGACAATGCTTTCGCGTTTCTTGTGTTTTGGCATGCATATACTGGGTTACTAGGCGGTGGCCGTGTGGTTTTACACAAAGCCTATATTAAGGATCAGCTGCATGAATATGCAGTACCATTCTGGAGATTGTCGCCATACAATTCTTGAGATGATCAAGTGGTCATTCGACTGCCTGGGCTGCTCCGCCGCAGCAAGAGAACCGTACACATGTGAAACTCCGGCATTTCTTTTATTCAACAACAATATAATTAAGGAGCCGGTGTGTATCCGGCTGCAGATCCGTGGGGCCAGGAATTTGGCCGCGACTATATGCCAGACCGCTGGAAGCTTGCCGGCCGTCGAATATGTGGGCCATATATTGGAATATTCGACGGTGTGCAGGCGGACTTGGAGTTTGTGCGCAAGATTTTCTACCTGAAGCGAGCCTCGCTAAGCAATACATAACATGAGCAAGCAGGACTACATGTTTCTAGATCCGACCTAGAAGCCAAGGCGAGTACTCCAGGAAACTGATTTGTCATCACTGTGATGAGCCCCAGCTGCACTTATAAACCCTCCAAGAAAGGCTTTGCCAATCAATCGAGATGTGATTCCATTGCAATATAGGCGCTGTGCTGGACCTACGAAGCGGGAGATGCCGGAGTAGCTAACTCACCCGAGATGCTGTATACAGCGTGGGGTCGCACCGCAGCACACAGAAGGACGTGGCTCGTGGCATTTATTTCTACATCTGGGTGTTCCGTCAAATCGAACGCTTAACGTAAAACCCCTAAACCCCAAGACATACACCCACGACCCCTAAATACTTTTCAATTATTTAATGATTTAGGGGCTTGGATAAATCCCTTCCTTCAAAATAACAATTCAATCCACATAATCGAACCTTTATTCGATTCCAAGGCTCATCAGCGATCCGGACGTATTTCGATCAATGCACGGTCCTTCACCTCTGGCGCAAGTCATTGGTTTCTCTCCGTGGCGCATTCTAGCAGCAATAAGCATGCGAAAGTAGGTGGCTGTGTCTGGCTTTCCTAAACCCTAAACCCTAAACCCTAAACCATAAACCCCTAAACCCTAAACCCCTAAACCCTAAACCCCTAAACTTATAACCTGATTAGCTCAGGCATCTTACCCGACAGCATGCACTTACTGCACTTGGCGATATTCCCAGATACGATCCTGAGTATGTTGTGCGACTTAACAGATGCTTACGGACCCCGGCGTGAGCAAGCCTTGGCCGAAATGTGGGAAAACTACAGAGGCTGGTGTGAGTCTCTCGGCAACTCGGATCAAACCAATTGCACGCCAACATATCCGATCGAATGCCAGCGAGAATTAGAATAACCAGGATCCCAAATAATACTCGATCTAAGGAGTGCGAGACCGGGCTCGCCGGAAGCTCTTTTCTGGAAAAGTTTTGCAACCGAGAGGCCGCGAGTACAGGACGATATCGCAAAAGGTCCTGAGTGCCAGCGCGGCACGTTTCCTGATGCTGTGGCTTACAAGCTATGTGACAGCACTCTTGGAGATTCGGCCCGACAGCCTCTTCCTCCAGTGCCGAATCTTAATTATCCTTATGTGCGCATTGTGTTGTGTGTTTGTGTGCACTTTGGGGGTCAGACAAAGCCTTATGGGGGTCAGACAAAGCCTTACTTAACATTTAGGGTTTATATAGGGTACCAGGGTTAAATACAGAATCGCAGAGACAGGACATAATCCAGTAAACGTATACGCCAATGCATCTATATATCATATATATATATATGTGTGT